CGCTCCCCTCCCTCTCTCTCTCTCTCTCTCTCTCTCTCTCTCTCTCTCTCTCTCTCTCTCTCTTCCTCTCTTCAGGCCTTCTCTTCTTCGAGGTGTTGCTTCCGCCCTTGTGCTTCGACTTTCGCGAAGCTGCGCCGTATCATCTTCGCTCCGATCTCTGCTGGATTTTCTGAGTCTTCTCTGTTCCGCGAGAAACAGGACGTCAATCTACCCGGCGGATATCTTCGAACCGCGAAAACGATTTTAATTGATTGTAATTTGATTTATTTCTGCGTACGAGAGAGAGAGAGAGAGAGAGAGAGAGAGAGAGAGAGAGAGAGAGAGAGAGTAAAGGACACCTATTTTGACAATAACAGAAACGAAAGCATATCTTATCTTGAATGGCGGAGGATCTGTAAATTAGGTAATCAGTTTATAAAGACTTGTTTGAAATTTTGTAATATCAGCTGCAAATATGTCTATCTTGTCGCTATTGTTGCCAACGAATTGAATTATCTTGTAAAACGGATCAATCACGCTAAATCGCAATGAAGGTTCTAATTTTGATTTTGTTCCGAAGTGCTTGCATTTCTCTTTTGATTGAGTGTTTATTTATTTATTTATTTACTAACGGGTATAAATTCTTCGATACATAAAGTTAATTATACATCATAGGTGATATAATGTTTATATCAATGTATAATATTTAAACTTATGGTTAAATCTGAACAAAGCGATACGGTCACAATATTTATTTATATTTATAAAAATCCTATTCACACAGAGGCAGGATTGTAATACTTCTTAGAGGAGAAAGATAGTTTATATGAGGTCATTAAGTATGATATGCATAGATTATAGATATTTATATATATTTATAGATATTTATCGTATAATTAGAGTTACTTGCATGCTTGTACCATTGCATTACGATTTCTTTTCCAGTGGCGTTGATCAGCATTTTTTCGTCCTTAATAATTCCTTTAGAAGAGCGAGAGAATGTTTGATTCTTGTATATCTACACTCGTATTCCTAGATTTTCAGAATGGAGTAATCAAATTTTGTTTCGATTGCGAAAAAATGTAGAACATTCATATTTAATTGATCATGTAAGAGATCGTCGTCACGAGACAGACTCGTTGTTATAGTGCAAGGGGTTAAATATTAATGCTAAATCTACTATGCCGGTTAAAATCACCGGTCTTACATTTTTTGTTTTCAAATTTTTGAGATTACGAAGACTTCTTCTTAAGAAACGATTGACTAAATGCCTTTATTGAAGTTTATATTATAACAAAATAATACACGTTAGTCACTTTTACAGCTCGGTTGGTTTAGTGTTAAGTGAAAGATGTATCGTATGTCTACTTTTAATCCGTTAAGGGTCGAAAATCAACTCCAGAATTTCTCATGAAATTTAAGCTATTGAATGAACATTAAACCTACAGCCGTAACGTTCAGAATGATCAGTTTCACACTTTTCATTTTAAAATTGCAAACGTTATAAAAACTTGTTTTATAACAAGTTTATGGCATCGTGTTATTGAAAGTACACATTGAGTTAGAAGTGTTTTATACAATTAGTGTAACCATTAGTATAACCATTTAGACTAATAAAACGGATGCCGAAATTAATCCAAGAAATAATTAAAAAACGCGATGGATATATCGTTGAAGAGAAAATTTAATTTTCTTTTATAAAATAGACATTATTTTTATTATGATGTAAAATATGTATATACAGAGTGACCCATTTGAAGACCCATTTGGACTTAATTATTTCCTAAACTATAAGTTGCTTCTAAAAATGTTCTAAATGAAACGTACCCTGTTTCGAGTGGGCCATCCTATAATAGTCGCAAATTCTCTCTAGGTGGATGTGCTTTCGAGATTTAAAGGTGACCTTGATATTTTTTAATGGAACTGTATGTGTTTTTCTAGATAATCTTGTAGTCCACTCCAAGACGAATTCATTGACCTGTAACACTTTGGTCCTTCAAGGTCGTCAAGGTCATTCAATGCCGTCCAAAACTTACCTTCGTTAAACGTAAACTTATCTGGCCCGTAAACATCACGCAAACTCACAATAATGATCGTTTTGTTACCAAATAGGTAATGTTGGAAAGACCAAAGCGTTGTAGGTCAATGAATTCGTCTTGGAATGGTCTACAAGCTTATCTAAAAAAAAACATACAGTTCCATTAAAAAAATCAAGGTCACCTTCAAATCCCGGAGGCACATCCGCTTAGAGAGAATTTGATGACTATCATAAGACGTTCCCCTCGAAACAGGATAAGTTTCATTTAGAAGATTTCTAGGAGCAACCTATAGCTGAGAGAGGAGATAATTAAGACGAAAACTTCAAGTGCGTAATCCTGTGTATAATACTTTTTGGTGGGAAGTGTATGCCGATGAAATATCGGGAGCG